TATCAAAGACAAAGTGTGTGTGGGGCGGGGGGAGTTGGAGAAGGACTGAGCCCAGGCTGGAGAAGGTGTCTGGCCTCTGACAGGAATACCTGGAATTTTAAGCTGCAGGCAAGAGCAGTTTGCCTTCAAGAAACTCTGCAATCTGCTTAAAACAACATTTAGGGTGAGAAATTACTGCTTGTAACCAGTTTCTTTAGTAGCGAAGCTCATATTGCATTTTGGTTTTATTTGCTGGGTGATCTGCTTTGGTCTGTTGGCGATCCCTTATCATCACTTCAAATCTGTCTTTTGTAGCTAATAAACTTGTTTTTGTTTTCTCTAAAACCAGTTGTGGAATTTATAACTGGGGGCGGGGCAAAAAGCTGTGCAGATCTTCCTCCCCATTGCGGGAGGGAGCGAATGTCATGCGCTCACACTGTACAGTTCTCTGTGCAGCACAAGACAGTACAGTTTGGGGTTTACACTCCAGAGGGGGGTGCACTTGAGTGCTGGACAGCTCCTGAGCTGAAGGCTTCGCACGCAGAGCTGGTTTCAGTGTCTGTGTCTTTCTGCAGCTGGGTGTGTCCCTACCTCTGTGTGTGCTGGGGAAGGATTGAGGGCCTGACTCAGCAGGACAGGGTTCGCAACAGATCCCTTTGCCTGGTCAGAGCCCGAGAAGCTGGTGGTAGCTGTTAGAAAAAGGAGCAGGTTGATCCAGTGGTGGATTTCAGTTCGGGCTTCTTTATCGTGATACTTGTTCCCCTCGACCCAATTGTCGAGGAAGCCCTGGATTAGTTACAGCCACTCTTTTTATCTAAGTTAGGATGTAAATGCCTACATCCATTACAGCACCACAAAAACCCTTGTTAAGTAATATGAACGCCCACACTATGATTATACCCACCCCATTTACTATTTACAGCATTACCCATATTATACAGACATTTTTACCTCGAAAAGACATTTCTCTGCAGTAATTGTAGCCACAAGTTCCCTTAATTAGCCACTCACAGGGGAGGGAGGAAGGAGCCATGACCCCGAGCTCGTTTATGTAGCGGGGAAAGGAAGGGAGGGGACGATAACGCTGCTCTACACAAAGACCATCGTTTAGATCCCCACATTCCTTATGCAGTTGCGCGCTTATCTATCCCCAGCAAGCTGAAGAGGAGGGCGAGGGATGACACTTATCTATCAAGCCAAGGAATGGTGCCTGCCTGTGACTTTATTCCCTAATACCATACCAGCACACCAGCGGTTTCCCAGGTCTCTACTTAACCCTTACATACAGCGGGTGAGGGGCCCGGCTCGGTGTCCAGAGCCCCACGCTCAGCCAGACCCTCGAGGGGACTCTGCACTGACGGGATGCTCAGAGCCAGGCTCTGCCCTGGGCCCAGAGGTGGGGACATCCAGCCAGGGAGGAGCAGCAGCTGCTGGAGGTTCGAGACTGAGGGACCCCAGCCCCAGGGGGAGGTGCAGAGCACGGGGCCTTTACCGGGAGATGCTCCCCCAGGCTTTCCCCATCAGGGGACACACAGAGGAGTCAAGGCCCAGGGGTTGCCCAGCTGGCATTGTCCCAGACACATAAATCCCCCACACACACCCGGGAAGGACCCTGAAGATTGATGCTGAGTCACGGGGGGGAGGGCTCATCACTGGGGGGGGGACGCATTGAGGGATCTTTTTTGTTATTTTGCATCCTGTTAACCTCTAGATTTGTAATAAACACAGAACCACAAACCAGCCCCCTCCCCAGGCAGCTACAGACCTCTGTCCTGGTGCCAGGAGTGTGTGTCACACCTGGGGGAGATGGGATCGCTCGAGGAGGGCTGAGGGGGCTCCTCCAGCTCTAACCACTAGACCCCAGTCCCCTCCCAGAACAAATTATATTACAGGGTCGCTGCCAGGAACTCAGGTTTATGCAGATTTTCCCAGGCAGTAGCAGAAAGACCAAGTGAGCGATGGCTCTGGACACACTTCCCCTTTTTACGCATTTTTTGGCTGCTGTATTAGCAACGCAGGATCTAAATTTATCCCTCCCTGTCTGATCACGGGGACCAGAAACCATAACCCCCCCACACCCCTCTGCCCCTCTTTCCTGTCTGTCTCACACCACTGAGCTAAGAATAGCATCTGTAGTGACACTCCCTGGGAAGGAGGTTGGCCAGGTCCCTCCACCCTCATGCTCTAGGGTGGGTGCTGGGCCCAGCAGGTCAGGAAGGAATCTCTGTTCCGCTCCATGAGAGAGGGTCACTCCATGGGGGGCACTGTGTGCGTGGGGTGCCCTCCTCTGCTCTGAGCTGCTGCTCCAGGGAGGCTAGATGGGCCTTTTGGGAAAGGTCAGGGCAGCCTGGGCACCTCTTGATGCCTCCTGAGAGTCCCACGTTCCCAGCTGGTCCCCAGAATGGGCAGCTCCCATGTGGGGCTAGGAGGTGATTGGGGGGGGGGGGAACAGGCAGCTGCAGGAGGGGAAGTGGTTTGCTGGGTGTTGCAGGGATCTGGCTTTGCTCTGACAGCGGTAGATTTGGGCTGGAGATTGCAGAGAAACCATTTGATGGGAAGAAAGGGGCTGAGCGCATCACGGGCTTCCTGGGGCTGCAGCCCCCGGCACAGTTCCTCATTCCGCTCACACTCGGGCCTCAGACTCAGTGGAGCTCAGCACTGGGGTGTTGGTGGCAGTGCTGAGGGGTCCCCCACTGCCCCGTCATGGTGTCTGCTCTCACCGTCCTCCTCCTCGGTGAGTATCGGAGACAGCCAGGGCATGTGTCCATAAGGGGGGATCTGAGCCCAGGGTGTAGGATCCAGTTGCTCTGGGATCTGATCCCTAATGACCCGTCTTCTTTCCAGGCTGCTGGCTGGCTCGGCAGAGCGGGGTCTCGGGACGTGAGTATCTGTGGGGAATGGGACAGTTGGGGGAATTTCCACATTAAGGACGAGGACGTGGGTGGGGGTTGGACGTGCAGATCGCCCAAAGGGATGATCCTCTCAGACCGCTGATCCATTCCACATGCAGAGCTGGGGACTGAGACCTCGCCCCACTCATTACAGGGATGGGCACCACACAGGGTGAATTCACCTGCACTCAAAGCTCTGGCCCCCCAGGAAATACAGAGTGAAGGCACCAGCCACCCTGCAGCACCCCCACACTGTGCCCGGGGAGCTGGCAGGAGCCCGGGGAACGGGTCAGGTAGAGCAGGGCTGTAAGACGTGGACACACAGAGGGACTGGAGCAAGGCACCGTTGTGTCTCACCCTCGGCTTGCTGCACACGCGCGTGTCACTGCTTTGTTCGTGGGTCCGGCTCAGCCCGGCCCGGCGTTCGGAACGTCCCCTGAACAGCTTTGGGAATATCCCATCCCCAGAGGGGCCCCCGGCACCATGCAGAGCGGAGCTAAATCCCCAGCGGCTGGGAGCGGTTCGGGGAAGAGCAGAGCCAGAGTTTGAACCCCAGGGGTGGGCAGGAAAATATTAGAACAACCGGGGGATTTTGCAAAGGTGTCTTTTCGGCATCTTTGCTCAAAGGACTCAGATTTGTCCCACGAACCCCACCCCCCGCAGTTCTGTGCATACAGCACATTGCCGGACAATTGGAGTAAATGTGGTTTTTAGAATATTTTAAAGAATAATCCACGTTCAGCCCAACACCAGCAGAGCTGCAGCTCTGCTACAATGTTAGACAAACAGGAGGGTGATTCTGATCTTGGCCCCTGGGGTCAATCCAGAGTCACCCCTGACTGCAGTGGGGGCAGGGCTGGGTTCTGATCTGCAGTCACTCCTGACCCACAGAGCGGGAGAGCTGAATTCACTCTGGATAACTAAAGGAATCAGAGACTGGAAATCTCTTTTCCGCTCTGCTGTGTATCACCCCGGCTGTGAGCCGCGGGGCCAGGCCTGTACCCCAGGGACGGGCGGAGGGTAAAACATTGCAGTGACAGACTGCCGGAGGATTGAATGAGATGAACGCGGTTTGTGTCACCCTCACTTACTGCCTGTTTGTTTGTGAATCCAGAGGGGTCCTACCCCAAACCCTCCATCTCCGTCAGCCCCGGTGGGGTGATTCCCGTGGGGGGAAAAGTCACCATCCGGTGTCGGAATCAGCACCTGGGCATGAGGTTCTTCCTCTACAAGGCTGGAGATGGGAACTATCTGACTTACACAGACCCTGCTGGTTCTGAGGCTGAATTTCCCATCACCAGCGCCAGACGGGAACACGGTGGCAGCTACACCTGTCGTTATAGCAACAGAACAGTACGAGCTGCCTACTCGGAGCCCAGCGACCCTGTGCAGATCATTGTAGCAGGTGAGGGGCCCAGTCTGGCACCTCGGCTCCCAGCCCCACACCCAGCTAGATCCATGGGGGGGTTCACACCGATGGGCCACTCAGAGCCAGGCTCTGCCCTGAGCCCTGGGCCCAGCAGAGGGGACGCCCAGCTGGGGAGCGGGGACAGAGTCACTGGGGGCGTCCCAGCCGGGGGGAGCAGCCTTCTACACTGCACATGGTCTAACACTGCCCTGGTCACAGCGGTGTCGGGGCGCCTGCCAGTCGAGCATTAAGCCACGTGGCCCCGTCTGTCACGAGCAGGTTGTTCTCTCTTGTCCTCTCCCCGGGGGAGGTCTGTGCCCACCGTGGAGGGTCTGGTCTAGGGCAGTTTGGGGGGTCAATGGCCGTGCTACCCCAGGTCAATAATGGAGCAGGCCGGCCGGGGCAGGGCGCCTGGCCTTGGAGCCAGAGGTGGGGAGGTTTGCAGGTCCCTTAGCTGCTGGGGGAGCTCGTTCTGCAGCTGGCCCGGCCCCAGAGGAACTTCGGTCCCCTGCCCAGATGAGCGTGACCCTGATTTCGGCTAGCCCAGAGGCAGAGTGCCGTCACCCTGGGGTCATCCTAGAGCTGTGGGCTGTTGTCTGGTGATCTGGGAGGGAATCTCTGTCTGGGGGCTCCTGGGTCTGGCTGGGGCTGGGGCCGGCCGGGGAGGCCGGGGCTGGGTGGGTGCATGGGTCTGGCTCTTGCAACCTGTCTCCTGTGCGCAGATCCCAGCTTACCCAGACCCTCCATCTCTCTGAGGCTCACTGGGGTCACCGCCCCAGGGGCAGACGCCACCATCCGGTGTCAGGGGCAGCGCCGGGACGTGAGGTTCTTCCTGCACAAGGCTGGAGACCTGAACCCGCAGCGACACATGGACCCTGCTGGGACCAGGGCCGAGTTCCGCATCCCCACCGTGGGCCGACAGCACGGAGGGAGCTACAGCTGCAGTTATCGGCCCCGATCAGAGCCCTTCATCTCCTCGCAGCCCAGCGACTCCGTGCAGCTGGTGGTAGCAGGTGAGGGGCCCGGCTCGGTGTCCCTGTTCCCATCCCCACTGTCATGGAGTGGGGGGGGGACACAAGCCCCGCACCCCCGGCTTCCTGCGATTCACCATGACTCTCAGCCAGCCAGTAAAGCAGAAGGTTTATTTAGACGACAGGAACACAGTCCAGGACAGGTCTTGCAGGCACAGACAACAGGACCCCCTCAGATAGGTCCATCTTGGGGTCCCAGGGCACCACAGCCCCCTTGGGGGTCAGAGCCCCATCTGCCTCCCAGCCCTTCCACCAGCCAGTCCTGAAACTCCCGCCCCAGCCTTTGTTCAGTTTCCCGGGCAAAGGTGTCACCTGGCCTCTAACCCCTTCCAGGGTTCTCATGTTACATGCTCAGGTATTCTCCCTCGGCCAGTCTCCCATCCCCCAATGCAGACTATCCTAGCCACACTCCCCTGCCTTCCCAGCCAACACTTCCCTCTTATCATTCAAAGACCCCATTAAGAACAGTCCCAGTTCATCACACACACACACAGCTGAACCCTCAGTGGGTCTTGGCTCCGATGGGACGCTCAGGGCTAGGCTCTGCCTTGAGCCCTGGGCCCTGCAGAGGGGAAGCCCAGCCGGGGAGCGGGGACGGAGTCACTGGGGCAGGGCCAGCTCCAGGCACCAGCGAAGGAAGCAGGTGCTTGGGGCAGCACGTCCAGGTCTTCGGCAGCAATTCGGCAGCGGATCCCTCAGTCCCTCTCTTCCTCTTTGAGCTGCTGCTGCAGTGCCCCCAAAGAGGAAGAGAGGGAGTGAAGGACCCGCCGCTGAAGTGCCACCGAAGAATGATGCGACGTGATTGAGCTGCCGCCGAAGTGCCGCCGATCGGCTTTATATATATATATTTTTCCGCTTCGCCGCTTGGGGTGGCAAAAAAGCTGGAGCCAGCCCTGACTGGGGGGTTCCCCAGCTGGAGGAGCAGCAGCCATTGGCGGTTCAGGGCTGAGGAAGGAGGGATCCCTGCCCCTAAGTTCCCTCTAAGCTGCCGCGGCCAGGGAGAGGCACCTCTCCCCGGGGCCCCGGGCTGCTGCAGTGAGAGAGGGCTGGGGAGAGTCCTCTCGCCCCGCCACAGTCCTGGTGCATCCTGCACCTCAAACCCCTCATCTCCAGCCCCACCCCACAGCCCCCACCACCAGCTGGAGCCCTCACCCCCCCCTCTGCACCCCAAGCAGCTGCCCCAGCCCTGAACCCCCTCCTGTAACCTGGAGCCCTCACCCCCATGCACTCAAACCCTCTGCCCCAGCCCTGAGCCCCCTCCCCCACACCAAACCCCTCAGCCCCACCCTCACCACACATCATCTCTATATGCACATAACAAAATTCATTCCGCAAATTCATTCAGCAGCTTGTGGAGATTCAGGGCCGAGGGAGGGGGAATCAATGCACACAGGGGGAGCTGCAAAGCAGGGGCTTTTACCAGGGGGAGGCTCCCCCAGCTCCTCCCGCTCTGGGGATGCACAAAGGAGTCAGGCCCAGGGGCTGCCCAGCCGGCCCCGCCCCCCGCCTGTGCCTGCATTCCAGGGCTGGCTGTGTGATGCCCACCGGGGCTGGGGGCTGTCGGGTTAAAGAGCAGTGGGAGCTGCACACGTTGGCTGCTCAGAAGCAGCCTGGAAACAACAGCTGTGGGGAGACCCCCAAGGATTCCTGGGCAGCGGAAGTGGGGGGAGCTCAAGCCTGGGGGGTATATTTTTGTGGTGCGAGCTGTGTCATGGAAGGGGCCAGGCAGAGAGCTGTCAGGGAGAAAGTCCTGTTGTGAAGGGACAGAGATGGCAGGAACAGGAGGAAGTAGACAGAGGAAAGAGAGGAATGAGGGGAAAGTTAAAGGAAGAACCAGGCAGTGAAACAGGAAGGGAAAAGAGTGGCTAAGCACCTACGCCATTGTTAGAAAACCACAAAAGAAGTAAAGCACGAATGAAACGTCATGGAAACCAGCTGTGAGCAAAGTGAAAAGGGCTTAAGAAATGAGGAGGAAGTGAGCTGTAGTGACAGTAAAGCAAATAATACGGACAAAACGTCCACCCAGCACCTTCAGGTGCAGCAACAGGAAGGGAGAAATTGTCCGAGAGCAAAGGGACTCTAGATAAAGCAGTGGAGGGACAGTTGTTCGATTGAGAAGCCGACCCATCGCCTGGAGAAATAGCTGCAGGTATCTGAGCTGGAACTCAGAGCAGCAAACAGAGACGGCGCAAGGGGATGGCTCAAGATACAACAAACCAGCCTAAGAACAGAGAAGCCGCGAAGGGACCGTAGAGCGGTGGGTTCTGGCCTAGTGCCAGATCCTGGTGCTCCAGGAATGTAAATTGTTGCCCAGGAAGTGGGT